CACTGTATTAACTTAGAGCGATGATTAAATTCTTCTCCTCAATATTCTTAAAACCTTCCCCCCTTTCCACCTGCTCTCACGCTCTCTCAGTGGATTGAAATAGCTGTACATCTTTATATTCCCTCCCTAATGTGCTGTTTATCAGCTGGCTGCCAACTGAGACACTGACCAAATCAGTCTGTCTCCCATCGCTCTGTCTATCCTTACTCTGCGAACCAGCCACACCCCCCTACTCCACTCCCAGCCTTGGATCTCTGTGCCACAGGAGGATTAACTCCACCCTCTACATTCTGGCCTGCCTTGATTATGTCCAGGGATAAGAGCTGCTTAATTGTAATCACTGAAGCTGTCACTCAGGAGCACCGATCAGCCCAAACCACACACTGAAACCAAATATACAGTAGAAGACGGAAGGCAGCAGCCCTCCTCATGTTAGTCTTTATAACATGTTGGTTGTCAGTTAGAATTAACTCCTTGAAACATATGTTAACGAATTATGTACCCTTCACACTTCCAGTTATAGTGAGGAGTGGTTTAAAAAAAAAAAAGAAGTATATACCTTTATGTAAGTAAAATAGAGCGATTCTTAAATGTATTTAGCAGTTACAGCCAAATTAGAAATTTTAATAGTAAATCTCAATAGTCCCAGAATTACTCTCTAAAAACTACGATGGTCAGTTATTATATAGTGTCATAATTTGTTACTAAAAAAAATAAAAACCTAATAAATTGACTGCATCTGTAGTTGTACTTGAACCTTAATCTTTATTGCAACAGTTTGCAAAGGTATAGAACGCAAACATAGGACGCTCCAGTGTGAGCACAGGGGAACTCAGTCGGACAGCATGGGAAGTCAGTTGGGAACAACTGGAACATTCTGGAAGGTGGCCTGAAGGAAGGAGCACATTGAAACTGGAGACCTCATGCTGATGCACTGCTAGAAAAGCAGAAGTGGAGGTTTCCTGTATGTATGGCTAACAGAGCACACAGGCGAAGCCACTCAATTGGAGGACCCAGAGGATGAGCAAATAGGCAAGACCAGAAGTGAGGAAAAAGCTCCACTGCAGGCCTGGTAGGAGGCTGGCAACCAAGGCAGAACCCATCGGGAGGCCTGGCAGGAGTCCTGTGAGTAAGATGGAACTATGATGGAGATGGCTCAATGCTAGCGAGAGGAGCCCTTGGGAGGTTATTGGAAACATCAGGCCGAAATCCCACAGTCGCAGTAAAGGCATCAGGCAGCACGAGCCCTGGAGCAGACAAAGGTGTTAGTTGACTCAAGCAGAATTTATGGTGTAGCAGATGTGTCCATTTGCACTGATGTTGAACTGCACAAATTTGGTTGTGGAAAACTAACCAAAGATCAGAGAACAGCATAAAATGTGCAGCTGCAGTTTGGTTTCATGTCACTACAAGAATGTGGATTATATATTAAAACTTCTGTTTTCTACTTAAGTAAGAGTAGCCCACAGACCATATTTTTGTCATTACACAGTGGTGATGGCACAAAGCTACAACATGTAGAAAGACTGACCTGTGCATAGTACCAGAGCACAACCATGAAAAAGTCTGAGATGAAGATAAGTTGGCTCAGCAACAGGAAGAATGTTAGCTGGCTGGGGCACAGGCACAGATATTGATAGACTCTGGAACAGGGGAAGTGTTAGTTGACAAATGTTAGTGGAGACAAAAAACTAGGCAGCACTGTATTAAGAAAATGAGCTTGATGACTTGCTGAAAAGAAGCTGGAAGTAGCAAAGAAAATCACCACAAGAGCTGGAACAGGCTTGGAGTCGACGATGTGCCAGTCCAGGTCTATACTCTTAAACTGTGAGCCCTCTTCCAGTCTGTGTACAAAAAAGGGTGTAAGCTAATAATAGAGTTGTTTTTTTTTTCTTGAACAGACTATGACTAGAAAAGCCACATGGATAGAGGAAATCAATATAGCAATAGGACAAGAAGGGCATTTCTAAATAATGAAACAGAAGCATTGTCTGATGACACGCACACTTGCGTATCATCAGACAATGAGACATTAAGCACTGTCCTCTTAAATCACCAGTGACCGCTCAGATGACCAGTAACATTTTCCCCCAAGAATCAGATCTGATATTGGAAAAATAATAGTTAAGGAAAAAATAATAAAACAAAAAGACAGGAACAAATAAAAAAAATAATAATTCCAAAACCACAGCAAGTTGGAATAGCTGGGTCCATTTCCTTGCTGATGAGTCAAGAGAGTCTTTCCCAGGATGTAATATTGAACTGATAAACTGAAAACATATACAAAACACGTTCAAGACATGTTTTCTGGAATCTGCTGAGCTCAAGCTGCTTTGTGATGTCTCCTAAATGTATCCAACACTTTAGTCAATAGAAAAAATATACCAGTGATCATAAAAAGCAGTTGCAGTGAATGTGTTTAGCGATTTTATAGTTGCAAATCTTCAACCTTTCCTGCAGATTGTTTGTGGTTTGTCTTTATTTAATGTTTGCACCAGAGCTTAAATGTGTGAAGCAAAATTGTAAATTCAAGTGGGACAAGGTATCTGGGTAGTAGCTGTAAATTGCTTTATTAGGTAGCCTGTTCACAGAGACATCCTGGTGGAACTTGATGAGATAGCAGGTTAAAGCTCATTTCTATTTTCCTGCAGCATTTACAGTGAAAATACCAATATTCTTTGCATACTCCCACTATCTGTCTGTCACTATTTTGTCTAATGTGTCTACTGTTGTTGATTTTTGGGAAACCCTGTTGTCTTGAGCTTTCTACTATGTAAAGATGGAACCCTCAATAAATGAGACAGTTTGTCTCATTTATTGAAAAGCGATGCCTTTGTAAGAAACACTGGCAAAGATTTTATTGCAGTCGTGCAGTATTGTTGTAAACAGTCTAGCACATCAGATAGGCCATCTGGCATTTTAGTTATGTCAGAGCTGAGGTCAAATCTCACATGACCTGTCCTTGGCGGGCTATACTATCAGAGCCAATTACTATCCTTTTGGAATCCCCATTGAGTGCACTTTGTCCTACTTTTTTCCTCCACAGTGAGTGGATGCTACTAGAGCATGAATAATTTAGTTTCTTTAATATTGCATGTGCCCGTGTAACAGTTACAGGTTAATAGTTTAACTTTAGCTTGGCATGAAGAGTGGAAGCAGGAGGAAAACCTAGAAAGGATACCAGGACTTTTGACTTTATTTAAAAGAAACAGACAAAACCTAAAGAAAATGCCTCTTTAAGGTCATTGTCAGTCATAATACAGATCATCTGACCAGTCACTCCTTGCTGTCCCCATGTCGAGACTGAAACACCGAGGAGACCGAGCTTTCGCTGTTGTGGCCCCCAAACTATGGAACAAACTGCCCCTCCATATTAGGCTGGCCCCAACACTTGAAATGTTTAAATCACTTTTAAAAACACACTTTTTTTCAAAGGCCTTCTAGGAGTGTTATCAGAGCCAGTTTGTAGTCAGTTTTTAGTCAGCTGTTGGTCATTCTTAATCTTTTTACTTTGTTAATCTTATTCATTGTATATCTTATTGTTTATTCTACTCATGTTGATATATTTTTATCTTTTTCAATTATATATTTGTTTTGTTTATTGATTTCATTGTATGCTTAAAGTATGGTTTTAACTGCTATCTCTGTTTTATTATTGGAAAGCACTTTGGTCAACTTTGTTGTTTTTTTTAAAAGTGCTATATAAATAAAGTTGGATTGGATTGGATAATACTATAAAATATATATGACATACTATAAGTATATTAGACCTATAAAACAACATTACAATTGGGGGGAATTATACATTTGTATAAGGACAATTCAGAGTATAACAGAGTGTTATTTTTAAGATATGCATGCAGTGGATTTTTAAATAAAAACTAAACTAATATATTAGGGCAGAACTGTGCCACTCCCCCTGCTTTCAGTTTCTATTCTGATCAAAGCGGATCCTCGCTCTGTCTCCGAATTTAATGGAATGGTATAACACTGGTAGCAGTTTGACAGTTAACTAACTAATCAACTGCTCTATGACTTTAAGTTATTCAGTAAATGTCAGACACTATTTGCCATAATTGGTAGTTTCACTGTATTTAGATGAAAAATTGAAGTTCTCCCAAGTTTGAGGAACTGGACTTGAAAGGAAACACAAAAAAAGCCAGGAGCAGTTTTAGATTAGAGCCAGAACAACTTTATGGGTATAAATGCATGCTTTTATGTAAGAGCCTCATTAGAGTGTTAGATACATCAGGGTTTTTTTCTCCGACTCCATTGATATTTGCTCTCCTGCTGTGCTGAGCTAAACTATTTCATTTTCCTGAGCATTCACAGGATGTGTAATTGAGCCTTGGAAGGTAAGGTAGAATATGTTAATCAATTTTTAACTAAAAAAAATAAATCACAGCACAAATAACACAATTACAGCTAAATGAAGTAATGAAATCAACCTTACAGAGGATTGTAATAGTTTAATAATGCTGTATTTTCTAAGAGCTACAAAGACAACAATTAAATGGATCATTTTTTTGCCAAAATAATCTAAATACCCACTGAATATCTTCTAAATTTAATGATTTCTTAACCTGCACAGGCATAAATAATCTTTTAGCTTAGCTTAGCAGCTAGCTATCTTTACATCCAAGTCTCACAAATTACAATGTTGCATCAGTTTTGTAAAAATTTATAATTCCTTGGCCTGGAACAATGACTTTCTGCAATATGAGTTTGTCAGTTTGCTTTGGAAAAGTCTTTGATCCTCAACCTTTAGATATACATGCAGTGCTTTTAGGTACGTAGTCATGGTCTAGATCAGCGGTCCCCAACTCCCGGGCCATTTGGTACCGGGCCGCGAGAGTGAGACTCGGGTGTGAAATGTATGGTTTTCAGGGTTTTTATCGGTTTTCAGCGTTATTTTGTTATCGTTTTTATCGTTAACTCTGTTTTCCTGGGTCTTTTCACGTGTGTTATGAATAAATCTTCTTTTTTTCGGTACCGGTACTAGTTTTATTTTGTTGTATTTATCCGCGACACCTTAAAGGCCGGTCCGTGAAAATATTGTCGGGCACAAACCGGTCCGTGGCGCAAAAAAGGTTCGAGACCGCTGGTCTAGATGAAATTTTAACTGAGCAACAGAATGTGGAAGAAAGGTGATTTATGTGACTTTGAATGTGACTTGGTTGTTGGAGGTTCTGAATATTTCAGAAACTGGTGGTCTGGTGGGATTTTTCCATGTGCCGTCTTCAGGGTTTACAGAGACTGACCTGAAAAAGAGAAAATATCCAGCAGCAGTTCTCTGGGCGATGTCACAGGTCAGGGTAATGTCCATCCTGCTTTGAGCTGAGGGGAAAGCAACAGTATGCAGAACAGCATCTTTGAATCAGCAAAACATGTAACTTTGAATCAAAAAGTTACACCGGGTACCACTCCTGTCAGGAAAACCAGGAAACTGGGGCTACAATTCAAAAGGGCTCGTCAAATTTGTACAATAGAAAATTGGAAAAATGTTGCCTGATCTGATGAGTCTCGATATGTGCTGTAATATTCAAATGACAGGATTAGAATTTGGTGTGAACAACATGAAAGCATGGATCCATCTTGTCTTGTTTCAAAGGTTCGGGGTAGTGGATGTGGGGCTGGTGGTGTAAGAGTGTGGGGAATATTTTGTTGGCAAAATTCGTCCCTCCTAGGACTAAGTGAGCATCATAGAAATGCCACAGCCTGTCTGCGTGTTGTTGCTGACCCTGGTCTCTTTATGCTGACGCTAATCCCTTTATGACTACAATGTTTTCATCTTCTCATGGCTGCTTCCACAAGGATAATGCTCCATGTCACAAAGTTCAGATCATCTTAAACTGGTTTCTTGAACATGACAAGGAGTTCATTCTACTCAAATGGTCTCCAGAGTCACCAAATCTCAATCCATCCTTAGAACTTGATGAAACAAGAGATTTGCATGATGATGTGCAGCCAATTAATCTGCAGCAATCATGCTATTACTGTATGTCAATCTTAGAAGTAGTGTCATTATTAAAATGAAAGATATTAGCTCAGACATGGGAAATCAGATATATTATATACCCCTTTTAAGTGGCAGAAAACCACGCAGGGTGAAGGACAAAGCCAAAGTACATATAATAACATACTGTGAGCGGGATTTTACATTAGTTTGTACAATTGGCCTTGACATTTTAAATAAAAGTTTCAGCCCTACCCTTTCCTTTATACTATTAAAGGACTGAGTAATATGTGGAAGTAGAATACAAAAGTTCATTTTCTTTGTGTCCATTTTCACGCTTGTTACTGTGGCCAAGGAGCAACGTGACAGCAAATATATGCAGGGGTCATGTGAGATGGCCTCATGAAGAGGCTGTCAAATAAAGACAGGAAAATGTTTTTCTCTCCTACTTAAGAGCTGGCAGCAAATATAAAGGGACACTGTCAGAACATGAATGTGGTGCAGGAGATGCCAGCGTATTCATCAATGCCAGGCTTTATGTGTGGGAGGGTTTTTGATGTGCACGGCTCACGCTGCAGCGGTCTTCTGTGGACTGTGAAAGCCAGGAGCTTTGCCCAGCTGGGACTGAGTGATGGTGGATGCAAGCTGTCTTTCCTGCCTCCTACATTGGAATATTCTTCTAGGACTAGGGGAGAAATGACTGGAGCATGGAAAGTAAGAGTGTACCATCCCATGATAAGCCATTTTGGTGATTGGAAGAGACTTGTTCTGAGTTTGTGACAGCTTAATTGGGACCAATCTGAAGTACTTTTTGGGTGCTGGCTCATTAATAAAGCATATTTTGCCTCTTCCTATCCCTCCCTCTATTTGAAATGTAGATGTCTCAGATGTGGAGCTCTGTGTACCTTGGAGGAGCATTGCAAATGAGGGTCTGTGTGTCACCCAATGTTGTGGTTGTGATGAAATCAATTCTGGCTGCTGCAGAGCTTTGCAGCATAGAGGGCAGTGCTGCAGTGGCTATGAGTGCTCTTTCAGCCATGGAAACAGATGTACTGCAGTAATATACATGCTCGACACAATCACACACAAAGTAAAATAATCCTGCCAAGCCAACAAACCATATGAGACTATAGGACAGATCAAGCTCAGTCAGCACTAGAATTCACATAATGAGCCTAAATTCAGCGGCTGGTGATTCTCAAACAGAAAAGGCTTGCCTAAGCGTTTTTGTGTCCTACTTTGACAAGTGCGTAGAATAACTTGAAATGTCTTTTGTTGTTGCCTTGGTGTCTATTCAAACTTTTCTTCATCATATGTGAGAGGAACAGTAATCCTCTTATCCTGTTAGATTCCCCCCCCCTTCCAATCCACAACTCACACAGGCCCTGTCCGAGCTCCTGCTGTGTGAGTTTCTGTTTGTGTCTAGGTGTTACCTTTACTCTTTAAGGCAAGCCCACTGAAGTCATTCTGGCAGCCCCGCTATAGAGAGTCATGGAAGCCTGCAGGCACAGACATAGTATGAAATGCTGCGGATCGATCCGGGCAAGCCGAGTGTGCCTCTTCTTCATGCCTGTGTGGAAATCTGAGCCACAGTGATAGAGCTGTTCCTGCAGACATCCTCTTCTCCCATTTCATTTCTCCTTTGATAATGCTGCAGGCCTGTGGGTTGCTGCTTTTGGTAGGCTGATGGTTTGATGGGTGTTCACTCTGCAGCTCCAGCCTAGCTGCACAGACCTGGCACTAAGCCTAGGCTGGAGGAGGTCTATAGGGAAGAAGCAAGTGAAAGGAAGATGGGGGAGCAGAAATAGAGGGAAAGAGACAACTGGCATCACTAGAGCTCGGACTGATTTAATTATTCATAATATTTGCTGGGGGTAGTGTAGCATGTGTGTGCAAGTTAAGGGTTATAGAAAGAGTAAAGCTAGTGTTTGGGGAGGAAAAATGGTTCACTAATAATGATGAGAGAGGCAGTAAGCAGTCTCAGACTTCATGGTAATTGAACATTTTACCTTGGCAGATTTAGCACCATAATCTCCCTCCCCCAATTCAGTACAGTACCTATAAACCTTAACTGTGAATGAAATCCAGCATACAGTCAGCACTTCTATGTTGTTTTAACTAAATCTAAGCAAGAACTGTATTTTATTAGCCTTGCTTGTCATTAATTATTCAGGTCCAGTCAGCTAAAAGAACAGAAGCTTAAAGCACATATTGCACATATAATCCTGGCCAGCAGTGTTATATTCTATGACCTTCAGTCAGTAATTTGTTATTGAAACATATTAAGAAAAACATCCATTACAGAGTTAGGACCATAACTTTTAGAAAATGACACATTTTTTTCTTTACATTTTTTCCCTCTGTTAACCACTGCTGTGACTGTTGATGTGTGCCAATTAAAGATGTGCTTGATCTTTGATTCAAGAGGCTTAACAAAAGTATTGCACCTTCTGGGAATTGCACCCTGTTTTATACACAATCCCCCATTTTCAGAGGTTCAGAATTTAATTGGACAATTGACTGACAGGAAATTTCATGGCCCTTGTTATTCCATGACAAAATAAGTAGATAAAATGTCTGGAGCTGACTCCAATTTGCAATGTTAGGTTTTCAATGGAACTCTCAATATGAAGCCCAAAAGAGCTATTGATGCAAGTGAAGAAAGTCATCATTAAGCTGATAGTCCAAAATAAACCCATCAGAAAGATAGCAGAAACTTTAGGAGTGACCAAATCAATAATGGGGAACATTTTTAAAAAGACGGAATGCACTGGCTAGCTCAACAACACTGAAAGGCCTGAAAGACCACAGAAGACAACTGAACTGGATGATTCTAGCTGCAAAAGCATGCAGTTTCCTGTCTGCACGTTTTGGCACAGAGTGTACTCAGAGTTAGACCTTTCTTATATAAAGCAATGTAATCAGCATATGAACATTTAAGATGATAAATTTAAACCTCAACATGACTAAGAAAAACAGCTTCACAACAACACCCTACTCTAGAGAAGGTAGCCATATCATATTGTATAATCAGTCTACAATCAAAAGACACCTTCATGAGTGGAAATACAGAGATTTTACAACAAGGTGCAAACCACTGGTTACACTCAAGAACTGGATGTCCATAATAGAGCTTGTCAGAAAACATCTAAAAGAAACTGCTCATTTCTGGATGAAAAAACATCTTTGTAGAGGTGAAACTAAACTCAACTTGTACTAGAATGATTGGAAGATAAAAGTATGATGTAGGAGAGAAACAGTTCGTGATCCAAAGCACGCCAAATCATCTGTCAGACATGATTATAACATGATGATGTTTGGCTGTCACTGGAACTGGGCCACTAATGTTTTTTGATGATATGACTGCTGAAAGAAGTAGCAGGATAAATTCTGAAGTGTACAGAGCAACTCAAGAGTTTCTCAAGGCAGGGACAGGAATTTCTTCAATGACTAGGTCAGTCATCTGATCTCAATTCAGCAGACTATGTTTTCATTAGTGAAGACAAAACTGAATGCATAGACACCTAAAGCCCTGGGAAAGCGTCAGACACAAGGAAAGCATCAGCATTTCCTGATGTCTATGGATTCTAGACTTCAGTAAGTCACTAACCACAAAAACATTTGATCCAAGCACTGAAAACAAAACTCATACTTGCCTCTATAAATGGGACAGTGTGTATAGAACGGCATTAACTTCTACACAGTTCATGAAATACTTCTGTAAAACCTGTTAAAGCTTAAAGTTTGCACTTCAGTCACACCTTGACTGTTTTAGATGAATTCTGTGGACAGAATTGTTGACTTGTTGCAGTTACCTAGTTGCTTATAATCTTAGACGATTACCAAAAGCCTCGAAATAGAATACAAACAGAATATAAAGTTATTTCTGTAAGAAAGAAATACCATAAACGAATTTCTTTGGACCACTTTGACAAGCAGTAACCATAACACATATGTGCAACCCTAAAACTTCTTACCCTTGTGAGATGACTTGCTTTGAGCGAGTGTAAAGTGTCTGAGTCAAATAGCCAAAAGTGGGTTATCCACCACCATCACGTCATCTTAACAGACACACTAATTTATAGGAGAAATCTGTCAGTTACAAAGTAAAAATTTTGTATAGAAAACAAATATTTAGTCAAAGATGTTGTGACTTTACTAAAACTAACTGACTGCTGAACGAGCACAGGAGCCAGAATATTTCATTGACACTGAAGTGAAAATTGCCGTGTTAAACAAATTTTAATTTTTCTGAAAAGTGCTGATGCAATAAAGCTACCTTTTAAAAAGACATAATTGAAAAGCATTCCAAAGAGTCTTTAGCATCCATCAGCGAAAATAGCATCAAGAACAAATCCAGCATAATAGCATCACTGACAATATCTAATTAGCAGTAATATGAGCTCAACAATGCATAAACAGACATGTAGAAGAGACTTATGTGAATTCAAGCTAATATCGCAGTGCGTGCTTGGAGGGTTGATCATTGTTTTGTCATTGTTTTTCCATTTATTTTACCATAAGTGTGCACTCTTATTGGCGATAACGTCATCCAGCATTCTCAAACTGCTTTAAAAAGAAGCAGACCTGGTAACAGCATGTTAGTCTATGACCACATTTAAGGATCAGAGCCCTGACCTTCATGTTAGTGTTTTTCATATGCAGCACGAGGTATATATGATATATATTTCTGTGGAATATAATCGGATCACAGAAGCAGCCTGCTGGCTATAAAATCAAAACAAGTTGGAATACTGTTAAACACTTGATCCATTCAGATCATATCCATTGCAATAATATTATTAAATATTTATTATTTTCTCTAGCTATAGTCACTTTCTGACATTTTTATACAAAAATATTGATTTGAGGCACTAAAATGGTATTTTGTTAAGAATACCACACTAAATGTTTTTTAGGCTGTATTTCAACAAGCACTTGAATATAAGATTCATTCAGTATCGCTAAATGACTCATCCTTCATACACTGATATCAAAACACTATGTCACCCTGTCATAAACAACCCCCCACCCCCTTCACTTCACACAGATGCCAGAGCCATGAATGACAACGAGTAAAGGAAAGAGCAGAGGAGGGCTCTGAGGGAATGAGAGGGAGTGATGTGGGGTGGGGATGGATGCAGTGGATGATGGGATTGAATGGTAACTGATCCCTCGGTGTTGCCTGCATGGCACGGTAGAGGACGAAGTCATTTCCCACTGGGACCCATTTAGCCCAAAGAATTTGTTACAGTGAGTGATGTAACGGGCGTTGTTACAGGATTGTGTGTGTTAATTTATCTGTGAATGTGCACTGACACACTGTATGACATATGCCTGAGCTCTCCTTCTTAGACGAGGAGATCACTATGTGCAGGCTCGGCATGAATTAATTTACATTTGTAGCAGCATTCCTTCTCCTCTTCTCAGTCTCAGTGCTTATCATATTATGAGCGTGCATGGTATTTTATCTCCATATCTAGTTTTACACACTATGAGAAGCAAGCAAGATTTGTTTAAACCTGTCACTTAATACAGGCGACCATAGATTGGATCATGAGACATGTGCGTGAAATTAGGCTTTATAACCTGCACAGATTACATTACAGAACTCCCTTTCTCTTAGAAGATGATCGGTGGTGTGATGACAGGCATCTGAAACTAAAGATAAAAAAACAAACAAATTAGTAGTTGAAAGATTGTTTTTAGTATTA